AAGATGTATTTATATCCTTTCTTATAAAACTACACACTTTAACAAATCTTTCGACATTCGTGCTACCTCCTTCTGGAATTCTTTACCCATCTCCATACGGACATCCTCAACCTTAAATTCTTTCAAACAACTCTTATTCTACCACCTACTTAATTTTCAAAATTCCATACCTATGTAATACTTATTTTTTCTGTAATTACAATTTCTCACTAACAATTAATTAACAATTGAAATAAACATTCAAATGGCCTCTTAGTATTCTGTCAAGCCAGACTAAAGGACCAATGTTTTGTACCATGTTATTATTATTCTTAGGAGACTTTAGTCCTAGAATAAAACTATTTTTTCATTTCATTCATTATGTTTGCAAACGTTTTTTATATTTAATGATCTTTAAGTTACGTAGCTTTAATGAGATTTAGCACGAGACTATAAGTGCTTAAATTCTAAGAACTTAGTCTTTTCGTTTTCTTTAAGTAACACTTAAGTTCAGATTGGAATACCTTGGACTGGATTGCCCTTAAAACGTTCGCGATCCATCTGTTAAAGGGAGCAAACCACGCGGAAGTTATCAATTCAACCTAATAGCGCCTTCCTCTGCCTCCTACAGACATATTTAATAGTTTATCTGCCAACTAACACTTACAGATAAATTCACTTAATTAATTTATTTATTCAATTTATATATATAATAACAATGATAATATACTCTATTTATTTATGGTTAAATAACTTCGCCTTGTCTATTTAAATTTTTTAAGACAGTTATTTGATGCTGTTTAAATTATCAACTTTTTTATTAATTTGCATTTTTGACCATTATGCTTCTACTACTTTTCCCACTAGCGAAGATAAAAAAAAAAATCAACAATAGTGTATTTTAATTTTTTATTCTGACCCATATCCTAAGTTGTTGAGAAGAAATAAAATAGGACGAAGATAGGTTTCAATATATGCCAGCCAATCAAGAGCACTATGATATGTCTAAAAATAGTTGCAATATATGTCTAAAAATAGTGGAGTGTGTCTGTAGGAGATGAACTATAAATAGATACTGAATATCGGTATAAAGCATCGCTGGAACGTTCAAACAGTGATTAAAAACAACAACAAAAATATTGTTTTTTTTTTAAATTTTGACTAGTGGGCAAAGTTGTGGAGGAAAAATATAAAATAATTTACATAACTAGAATTTTCCTCTACAACACACCTCGGGATTTTAAAGAGTTATTGAGAGAGCTTAATTTTTTGTTAATGCTTTAAATTTATTTCTTCAAGTCAATCTTCACTTTTTTTGGTGAACAAATTATTAAACCATATGTGTGCGACCAACACACTCTACACGCAGCGGATAAATGATAGGAGAGTGACAATTATCAAACAGAATCGATTAATTTATTACTGCACTTTACATCCGCCATTGGTACAAATCCAAAAATCTTTTTTTTTTTTTGTAATCTGTATTAGTAAATTATAGCTGTTAAATGATACTGTGAGCTATGAGCGTTTAAAATTGACATCAAACATTTCAATAAAACGGACTTATAATTTCAAATGGTATTGTAAGATGTATATGCATATATTGTCAGAAGGTTGATATGTTATCTCTGATTTTAGTCTAAAAATAAAATAAAAAATTTAATATATTACGATTATTAGATTGTTGAAGATTTATATGAAAAATCATTTTTTACTCTATTCATTCGGAATGACCAATATATACATATGATGCATGGAGGAATTCCATGTATCCATAGAAAACTTAACATTCATACTACTGTATAATATGCAAATTAACTTGGAGTGCATAAAATTTAGCAAATAAACTCTTCCTGCATAGAGTTAAGATGCAAGAGAAATAATAATAAAAAAAATGATGGGATCCTCCAAAATATATATAGGGCGTAAAGAGATTATAAGAAAACTATAGACGCAGTAATTATTTTAAATTTTAATTTAATATTTGAAAAAAAAAATCTATAAAGCTACAACCCATGGGTCTTGGGTTCAGTACTATGTTGGGAAGTACTGTTTCTTGTTCAGCGGTTGTACGATGAGGTGATCACGCTGAACATCCAGGTTTTCCCCCATGATTAATTAAGAGTGCCCACTTTATAATGGCTGGGTATGCCCCAGAAAGGTATTCCAGTCGATCTACGGCCGATGATTCAGAATAAATAATTTATCTACCACTAGCCGGATTTGAACCCAGGACCTCGAACCCTGGAAGTCAGTGCTCGTCTCACTGAGCTACCCTACTCCATAATTTATTATTTAATTTTTTTTAATTTACTTATTATTACTTTCTGAATATTAAAAAAAAAATCTTCTATTTTATTTCTTCATTTAGTGAATTGTGAATTACAAATATCTCAGGCATAGATCACCATGATGTTTTAATCCCTAAAACCTCATAATATATATATTAAATACTAATATATAATAAGTATATAATTGAATTTAAAATGTATATGTAACTTTTAATTGGTTTAAAAAATATGGATAAAATTAGAAAAATGAATAATTATTATAAATTAACATTTTCCAATGAATAATTTTTGAGATACTACGTAAGATCGGTTCTACTGAACTTGCCTAAAGAATGCGGCCTATATGGGACAGAAAAGCAAAAATAGAATCTACAAGGGAAAATAAACTGCTAAGTTAAATAAAATAGCATTGGAGACAGTGAAACAACAGTCCCGGTTTTTGAGCGCAGTATTTTTAAGTGTATGTGGGTCATTGGGCTGTAGCCAGCGGATCTCAGTTCTTTTAGGCTCCGAGCCAACCCGACTCTTCATATACTGTCTCTCTTTTATCTATCATTGTCCATACTGTCAGTAAAACTTTAAAATAGATTAACTGAAATCCATAAGTTAGAGATGGGTACGTAGTTGGCTGTTAAAGCTATTAAGAAGGAAAATAATCAGGATTTTCAGTCAATGATGTAAGTGTATTAAGTTTGCGGACGTTTCGACCCAAGCTATGGATGATCATCAGGGCCAAAAAAAAAAAAAGAAATTAAAAAAAAAATAATTACTTCAGAACTTATTAATTGAGAAATATTAAAATCTCTCACAAGAACATTTATAATAGTATTCAGAGAGCACATTAACGCTATATCTTTACTTAAATTAATGAAGGGAAATTACTGAACCTAGTAAATAAAATCATAGATCCATGTTATTTAAATTTTAAGTCAACTTATGTTAACTGCATTAGACATTTATTCAAACTTGATTTGTTTTTCTTTATTTTTCAAGAAATTTACGACTGTATACAAATAAATATACATTCAGTAAATACATACAGAGAAATACTTGGCATGACAAGGTTTGTAGACAATCTACCGATTGGTAGCACACTAATAAAAGTTAATTTATAAAATATATTTCTATTTAAATAAATGTATTTATGTTTCCAAAAACTAGAATCGTTTTTGATAAATTATTATTTAAATATCTTTACCTAATTTTTCTTTAAAATAATATTTTTATTTTATTATTCTCCTTTTTAGATTTTATTTCATGAGTTGTGTTGGAATTGAGTTTGAACATGATGTTTGAAAACGTGTTTTTATTTATTATATATTAATGTATTTATTATCGGTTTATAAATCAATTTGCCTCTATAAAATTTAAGCCAAGGATTCTGATCAAGAGACACGATCCATACAGAAATTTCCAATATTTCGAAAATATGGTGAATATTTATAAGGACTACAACGATTTTACAGTTCGTATTCAATATATCTTTTGCAACTGAAAGAATTTTATGAAAATGTTTGATAAAAACAGAAAAGTAAAATAATAAGTTTAAGAAATGATGTTTTGATAAATATTTTTAAAATTACTTTTATTTATAAATTTGAGGAGAAATAACCGATATTTTTATAACTAAAAAATTAAATGAAAAACGACTTAAACAAAAATTAATAAAAATAGTTCTGATGATTACTCACATGCCAAACGTTCGAAACGCCGGAAAACTTAATAAACAACATAAGCGATTGCATATCCTGATCATTTTCCATCCTTAAAATACATTAGAGATACAATTTTACTTTCCTTGATTCCTTAAAGAATTATTTCTTAACTCGTTGGTACATAAAATAAAAATATACATGAATAAAAAATATCCTTTATAACGAAGGAGTCTAGAGAATAATTACAGCGTTAGTTTCGGAGTTGTGAGAAACCTAATTACGTTCAATAAACTATCGTTCAGTTACACGCAATGCTTCTATGACGGTAACACGAGTTTATTTGACGGCTTTTATAACCTTGTTATTTTTATTATGTTTTGAATAAAAGTATATAAAATAACAAATATTCATATATTTATTGTTTCGAACTATATCTTTATAATATTTGTCCATGTACTCATCCATCCATTCATATTTTTTTTTTTTTTTTTTAGATGCTCTCCTAATATAAAGATTTTATTTAAATCTTATTACTCCATTTCTAATTGAAATGATGAATAATTCATAGTATATCTGTTTGTATATAATGCAATATTAATTAGATATAATACGTTAAATTAATAAATAAATGTCAATCATATATATTTTTATTTAACATCTGAAGACGTATAAGCAATCTATAATATAAATTATATATATTTTAATTGATGCATTTTTTAATAGTAAAATATGTTTTTTATGTTACCCTCTTTACATCTTGTTAGTAAATAAAAAGTGATTTTTTTTGCCTGACTCGAGTCACGTATATAAATTGAATTCTTATTATTCTTCCTTAAATATTTGTCGATTCATAGAGATCTTTTGTTTACATCTTTTTTTTTTTGTAATAAAACCAATGTATTCAAGCTTTTAAAAATTGCAATAATTTCTCTTCGAAATTATAAATAAAAGTAATTTTAAAGTATTAATTAAAAATTTACAGAGCTCTGCATTTCCAAAAAAAAAATAAAATATGGAAATGAATCTTTTTTCTAAAACCTTTTATTTTTGTTCTGATATTCTGTTTTGTGATTAAATATTTTTCTAAAACTTTTCAATTGAAAAATATATATGTATATATATGAACAGTAAAATTGTTTTAGTTCTTATAAATTCTCATCATATTATCAAAATATTAGTAAATTATTCATGAATCGTGTCTATCGATCCGAATCCTTAGCTCATATGTCTTGGAATAAAAATATCAATAAGAAATACATAATTTACTGTTGAGAAAAAATGCACATGTTTTAAAAAAATGTTCCTAACAAATCATGAAATAAAAAAAAATAAAAAATGAGAATAATAAAATAAAAATATTATTTATATTTATTACAAAAAAAATATATTAAAACGATTGTAGTTTTTAAAAACATAAATGTATTTATTTAAATAGAAAATATATTTTATAAATCAACTTTGAATGAATGGCTAATGCGGTTAAAATGATGAATATAATTATAAATAACTTGGATCTATGATATTATTTACCAAGTTCAACAATTTTCCTTCGCTAAGATGATAATTTGATATATTATATATTACCGAATCGTTAAAAAAAAAGAAGAAAAATAGT